CATGCGGCGGTAACTAGATTGTACTCAGGGAAAAAATTTATCCCCAAGGTTAATAAGATGGGCACTCAAGCTGCAAGAATATAATCTGGTAATCAAGCATACCCCCGGAAAGGAAAATATCGTAGCAGATGCCCTATCACGAATTAAAATTAGACGAACAGGGTAATACCGTAAAAGTTGCAATGCTGACAGCGTGTACAATAAATTCCCGAGAAACTGTAATAACCGAACTGGGTAAGGATCCTGAGTTTGGAAGTATTTATGAGTATTTGAAGGATCCTGAAAATTTTAGCCACCAAGATATTGTGGCGATAAGAAATAGGGCGGCCCATTACGAACTAATAGATGGTCTATTATTTTATACAAAAACTACGAATTCCAACAACGAATTTCGACCTGTTATCCCAGCTAGTCTTAGATTAAATATCCTGCAAGAGCTCCATGACAGCCCTTTAGCTTCTCATGCTGGTATTCGAAAAACTACTCCAACGCGTACGCGAGGCAGTCTACTTTCCTGAACTGCAAAAGTTAACAAGGGCGTATGTCCAGTCCTGCCCAACATGTCAAGCCGTTAATTATATTAATTTCCGCCCGGCCGGGTTTCTAAATAGTATTAAATCCGAATTTCCAAATGAAATAATCGGCATCGATTTATTGGGCCCTTTCCCAAAAAGTCAGTTAAACAAAAGTCGCTATCTCCTTGTTATAGTTGATCATTTTAGTAAATGGACCGAAATTGTTCCCTTAAAACGAGCCTCCGCGAAATTAGTTACCGATTCTATTTTAAATAAATATATTTTAAAATACGGGGCGCCCCTAAAAGTTATATCGGATAATGGTCCTCAATTTGTAAGTAATATATTTGAAGACATGTGCCAAAAACTGGGCATACGTCATTTAAAAATGGTCCCGTATCGGCCGCAATCAAATATAGCGGAACGGGTCAACAGAAATATAGTGAAAATTATCCGTAGTTATGTTAAAAATTTTCATAAAAGCTGGGATAACTATGTCAATGAATTTGCTTTCGCCCTTAGGACCGCAAAACATGATACAACGGGCAAAACTCCTGCTGAGTTATTTCTAGGCAGAAAGATTATAACACCGTTAGATAAATTATTTTATGTGCAACAAAGAGCCCCAGAATTTAAAATGGGTGATATAGAAAAACTAATAAAAGAAGCAAAAAAGAATACAGAAGTAGCACAAAGAAAACAAAATTGTATTATGACTTGAAACGACGGGGAGTAACTTATAAAGTAGGGGATGAAGTACTAAAAATTAAGCATTCACTTTCTTCAGCACCAGAAGATAAAACTGCCAAATTTTTTCCCACGCTTTGAAGGACCATATGTTATAGAAAAAATAACTCACGCTGTTGTAGTATTAAAGGCAAGAAATGGTGAAACCTGTTCCGCAAACATTGACCAGATAAAACCTATTCTATGACCGTAATAAAATGCAAATCTTTTCAGATCTTTTGCAGGATCCGGTACGGCAGACACCGCAGGTACAAGTTCCAGAGGTGGGAAAAACGACAAGTACAAGGGCAAGCCAATGAGAGACAGAAGCAAGTGAAAAGAAAATTGCCCCGCGGAAAAATTGAAGGTACAAAGAAAAAGAAGCCGTTCCACCGTTCCACCACCGTCCAAAAACAGAGTTCACGAACACCCCCAGAATGAAGAAGGGAGAAGGACGACGTATGTGGAAAAGACCGGGAGAAAGGACGGCAACTATAACCCGGCTGTGAAACGGAAGATTGACTCATCCGACAGAACTCTCCGCAGCAAAAGTCGCCGAACTGCGGAAGGGCCATCAGCGGCGGAGGAAAAAGTACAAGAAAAATTTGAACGGCCAACAACGAGGTCCAAGCAGGATCACGACAGAAGTTTCCCGGTTCCACCAAGACCAGCTGCCTTCAAACGGCCAAGACCACAAGCAGAGGACAGAAGGAAGATGTTCAAGGGTGGCCGTAGTGGTGAAAAACGGAAGCTTCCAGAGGAAAGCACTGAAGGGCGAGCCCGTACAAGAAGGAGGATCAACCAAGCTACGGTCTGCAGCACCTTTAAAGACTGGGCCCAGAAAAGGATGTCTGAATATTACAAAGATAAGTAAAATTTTGTGTTACTTTTACAAACTTAAGTTAATCTTTCATTCTTACTGCAAGTGGCAGATTTGAAGAAGTTTTACCTCATGCGAGGTCTACCTTTATCGCCAAAAGGGCGAGAAATGAGTTTGTGACCGATTTTCTTATTATGTTTTTCAATTACTCGCGCGTAAAACTAAAGTTGATGTATAATAGCGTTGTATAAAGACTTAAATATTGTAAAAAGTTATTGTATAAATTTTATTTAAAACATTCTAACAAGAAAGAAGTTTTAGTCTGAAAGACTTTTTGAAATGTAGTATTATTTCAATGTAGAAAGAATTGGCACTTGCTTTGAAAAGAATAGAAGTTAACAATGTACTACTAATGTATGTTTTCAAATGTGTAAAATTAACGGCATCTTGATATGTTCTTGTATACATGTGAACTGTTATTTTGAATGTTTAGAAATAACCGTGATATGGTAAAAGTGAAAGTAATGTTAAAAAATTTGTTATTCGTGTGACTGTAAAGATTAAATCATGGTGAATATGTGTTAAAGGTTGAATGATGTAGTTAGGCTCTCTGACGCTACACTTTAGAGTTAGCCACTTTTCAGAATAGTACCTCAGGGTCTAGAGTTGAAATTAGGGTGTGTTAAGAGGTCTCGTATGTTGAATTTTAACACGTTAGTGTTTTGATTGTAGGAGGAAGTGTTGAACACATAGACAGAAACACATTCGTGTTTGGTGTTTTTACAACACATGTCAGAGAGCACGGGGAGAGATAATTAAAATAGTCATGAATGAAATAAGAATGTTAAGAAAAGTATATTCTATATGTTATTTGCAATGTCATTCTGTAACATTTCATTAAACTAGTTTTCCTTCCAGATCTCTGGAAGGAACCAGAATTGAATAAAGCTCCTGTTTTGATGCAGTACAGATGAAAAAGAAAAAAGATTGTTGTATATTCCGGGAGCTGCTATTGTAACAAATTTCTTTCTTTTAAAATTTTCTAGTTTCTAGCTAAGTTATGTTTGTAAAAGTTTGGCCTCGCGTTAGTTTCTAGAGCTAAAAGTTTTCAACAAGGTCGTTTTAGACCTCAGTTTCAAACTAATTAACTCTGGCGGGAAGTATGTAAGGATCTTAAGTTTTACTAACGTTTATTTTATTTTAAATCTTTACTATCACTTCTTATTTTCTACTTCCGGCCAGAATTATAAGCGTGAAGGAGTTTATGCAAAGTTGTCTGGCGAACGCCAAGTATTTAAGTGTGGCCTTTTTGCCAAGCAGAAGAGAGGAAGCCGTGAGTTCGAAGCAGGCCGCTTACCTTAGAAGTTACGCAGTTGCTACTTTGCCTTCCAGGCCAGAGGTTTTAATCCTCTTGATAAATTAAACGTATTGTAGTGTTCACAGTCTCTGTGCTACATACGCTTCCTGTTATTATAAGGCCAATCTTCTTATTCTAAAGTTAAATTAGAGTTTAGTTTTATTTTGATATCTTTTAAGTTAGACCCCGAGTGGAGGGTCATTGTATTCCGAAGTACGGAAGTCATTGTATATAAAGAAAAAAAAATAAAGGGTTTTGTATACCCTTCGTCTGTATCCTGTCTACTTACTACAATTAGTGAACATAGCTTTAGTAAGCTCTCTGTTCTAGTCAGGTCATTGTATGTTTCCGAAGAAGGTTAGAAGAAACATTGAACCTGATAATAGCATTCAAGAAAAAAAATTAATACGTAACAAGAGCAAGTTTTATAACTTCGGGATATAATAGCAGATGAGAAGTAACAAGTAATTTAAAAAATTATTTTTAAAGTAAATTCCTACTTAGGTCAACAAAAAAAATTTTAAAATGCACACACACACACACCCAAAAATTAAATCGAAAATTAAAAAAATTTAATATGTGAAAAAACTGTATTAACATAAAGTGTCATCCACTACAAGTTTAAAAAATGTATTTGAACTTGAATGGATGACTAAAAAGTATTTTATTAGCGATTGAAAATTAATTAATTAAATAAAATTTTTTTATAAAGTCAATTCCTACTTAGGTCAACAAAGAAAAATTTAAAAAATACAAAAAAGAAAAAAAAAATGAAAGAAACAAAAAAACTTTTGTGAAAAAACTGTATTAACATCAAATGTCATCCCCTACAAGTTTAAAAAAATGTATTTGAAATTGAGTGGATGAATAAAATCTATTTTATTAACGATTGAAAATTTAAACAAGATATAGGGAGAGCGTGAGCTAATAGTTGGAATTTAAAAATGAATCAATTTCAGATAGTTTAGTATATGTTATAGTTTGAATTCATAAGTATACAGCACTATGTAGTCAAAACTGTATCACTAACGTTTCACTTATTAGAGCGATTATTATTAAAACCTGAATCAACAATTGGAATAGCGAAATCATATCTTAAAATGCTCTTATACATCGTTCATTTCTTCTACTCACGAAAGCAAATAGAACACCTTAGAGATTTTTGATTTCATCACTCTTACATGTTGACGTCTTGTTTCACACCGAAAATGTATTAAACACACAATAACTGGCTTATGCACAATTTAAATTTATCCAGTTTTTAATACCTCAAATAACTGCAAGCTCCTTAAATTCACGAGCTCATTTCGGACGGAGTAAAAGAGGATTCAGTTAAATTTCAGTAAATTTCTGCTACAGTATTGAAGCAACATCACATTTATAAGCACTGAGTTCTTGAAGGTTAATATCACACTTTTTATATTGTATGAAAGTATCTAAAATCTTGAGATAATTTTATTGAGAATTTAGATACTCATCAGCAAATTTGTAATTATCTCTTCTTCATCTCAAAGAAACTTTTCGTAGGTTAGAAAACAATTGTATTATTCTTATAAGAAAAAGCAAGAAATAAATTTGCTACCTAAAATACATTTTCAGTTAAATTATTGGAAACTTTAGGAGTTGGTGAGTTTTTACGGCAAAGTGCGAATTCTTCTGTTTTGTGTAAACGTGCCCATAATATTTCGCCCAGCAACACAAAGAAGGCCAATGTGCTACCTGTAGCAAAAACTATTAAGAATGTTATAATCTCATGCATTGGTTGGTGATTGTCATTCATTTCTTGTCTATGTGATGATTTTAACCAGTTCATGTATGATTCCTCACGCATTAGTTTGTAATAAAAACCTCCACTAATTAATCTGGATATGACTGCGTTGAGGTGTTCTTTGCAGCAAAAATCTTTCCTTAAAACTAATCCAGACTTTGAAGATGCAAGAACTTCATCCATCAGGTAAAAAGTAATTTTGTGTCTCATTCCAAAATAAACTTTGTATTCAAACTCAGAAATCATCACTGCAGAATCCTTGTTAAAAATTTCAGGGGATCTGATGGCTTCCGTTGTTGCTGTCCAGTTTTCTCTTTCTATTATTTTGGCTAACTCCCGAATTTTCGGTTGAGAGGAGAGCTTTAGCACTTCAGTCATTGCGGAGCCTTCCCAAGCAATGCATCGATGAGTTCCCGAAGTAACAACTTCGTAGAGGTCATGGAAAGTTCGTATGGGTGGCTTGTGCAGAGGTATTGTTAAAAAGGCTGAGAGAACACAGTTATAACAGAGGGTTATAATGGTAGTAAAGAAAAGTAAAAATATTAAGAGAATTCGACCACGCGTAGAATTCTCTTTGATGAAGAAAGGTTGCTTTAATATGCTGGCAGCTGTTTGCAAGAAAAGATATAGGTAAGAATATTTCCTGTCTAAGATTAACATAAGCAAAAGAGGAAGAATAAACAAAAGACAGAAGAAACAGGCCCAAACACCTTGAGTGAATGGGTAAATGTAGGCATATAGAGACGATAATTCTCCTGGCATATATGAAGCAAAAGTAATAGATTCAATAGAATATGGAGTGCTAAAATCAACAACTGCTAATCTTTGCTCTGTAATGGCTGCAGAGATACCTATATCAGCTTCACCTCTTTGAACCCTACCTATTATGCCAGACCAGCTCCCATTCGGTAATCGAGAACCCCACTCTTTATCAGGGGGCATTACTATTTTGTAAGGCAAGCCGATGGATTTCAGAACAAGGTCTAAGAATTTTCCTTCAATTCCAGAAAGCATCAGTTCTCCATTTTCATTTTCATCAACTTCTACATAGGGTGAATACGTCTTTGGAGCTACTGTGAGATACTGAGGGAGTTTCATAGTCGGTTTTCTCGTATCACTTTTGCTACACTGTGAAGGATGAATGACAATAATATAACATGAATCTAAGGCAACACGTCTATAGTACCTTTGGTGTCTGAGATACGGCTGAACTTAGATAATGCTAGAAAAGATATCCATTAGAGGGCTCAATAGATGTCAGCGCCAGGCACTCACTGTTTCAAGCGCGTACCTTTTCGATAAATGACAATAATATGAATATTTTGGGAATTTTATATGGTTGTCATATTTGTTTGGAACTGAGAATGCTTATATTTATGATATTTATGATCAATTGCACAAATGAAATAGGCATATCGATTAATCATTGATGCCCAGGCAGGGCAATTTGTTTCACGCCTCCTCTTATCTTAGGCAGTTTCAAATGATATGTCCTAAAAAGAAGTACATAAGTACATAAAACACGCAGTTCTGTAAATATTTGTACTTGACTGTAATATGCTAAAGTGAGCCTGCGCACTTTAGCATATGAAGTAATGAAACGGAAAGAGCATATGTGATTTTTTATGATTTCCTAAAATCAATTTTTTTCTTGTACAAAAAATTGCATAATTCAGATATGAAAAATTGAAGCATTAAAACGAAAAATGATAAAAGTTAAACAAATCGAAATCAGCATAAATACACAAGTTTCAGCCATAATCGATGAATTTTCTAGCCTAAAACATTTCCAGTAGTTATACTTCAAAGTCTTGAGCACATTCTAATTCTGCACATCATGTGTTTTAAATATCTGGATCATTTGGTCGTATTTTTGGGGGATATTAAAAAAATTAGACATGCACTTTTATTTTTTTTCCGTTGATTCATGTCATGTAAAATGATGTTGCAGATCAGTGCACTTTTCTTCAAATGCAATTAATGTAGCTTAGATGGGAGTAGATTCGTCGAAATTAATATTTGCGAATAATCCGTAGTCTTCGGTAAATATGTAGCTTCAAAATATTAATGTAATTTTTCACTCAGATAATCCTAGAATTGTATGAAAGAAAAATAATATTCACCCTCCTTTCTACATTCCTTTTGGTCTAACGGTAGCTCCCTCTGCGCCTATTCGAGAGGTCCAGGCTTGAGTCCCAGAGCACTGCACATTTTTCTTGTCTCCCGTATTAAAAAAAAAAACTCCTAATGATTCTACAGTGGCATCCTGAAACTCCTGGTGGATGATGATTCTTCCCCACCAGGACATGATGATTCTTCCCCACCAGGACTTGGCGATTAGATCCCCTAATCCTTAGTCGCTCTTTAAAAGGGGAAGTATGTAAAGTATGTTCTTCCTCCCTTCTGCATGTTTTCATTGTGCAACGGTGGAACACTCGGCGCGTATTCGAGAGGTCCACGTTCGAGTCCCGGCGAGGATATTTCTCATTTTTCATGTCTCTCGTATAAAAGAATCCTAATGGTTCTACAAGGGGTTCACAAAAAATGTTATATCTGAAAATAATTATTTTGTTGTTTTAATACCTTTTTCCTTTATAACTCAAACTTAACTGACTGACTGTGGTGCCGGATAAATTAACAAAAAAAAAAAAAAAAAAAATCAAATATCAAATAATTTACATTCAAAATCTAATTCATAATATTCATATATCATTTCGACATTCATATAAACATTCGTATAGTGGTAGTACAATTTAAATTTAGGTTTGTGTTGTGAGTAACCTATGCAAAAGGAAATAATCAATAAACCCAAATTCAATTAAACTCCATATTTCCTAAAAGCTTTCCGGCTCAAACAAATGGAGGGACATGACAGACCACAGTAAAATATACACAACATAAATACACAAATGCAATTAAATTTTAAACATATATTTATTAAATTCTTGACTATTTTATATAATTAAATAATGGATAACTAATCAGTATCCTAACACACATTTTTCTAAGCCAAAATAACACATAATACTACATCAAATTACAGCTTACATTAATTAAGATTAACATTATTTTTTTTTTCAAATTAAGTAGGTGTAACAAAATTTAATCCTCCTAAAACTGGCATTCACTTGAAATTATAAATAACTTCTCAATTACTAACTGTAATATTTAATTTATATAAATAATAACGATATACAGGTAGATAAATCATTATTAACTGTTCTGCATTCGGAAAAACTAAGAAAGAGAGAGAGAGAGAGAAAATATACTTAAAAATTTCACTCACAGATGGAAAACAGTTTTTCCTGATTAGCAGGATCCTTAGTGTCCAATCCACGTGGAAATGAGCCAAGCCCATTTTTCTTTCTCTGACAACCCTTTCTGAAGCGTGTAAAAATCATTAGGGATCAAGAGTGGAAATTACAGTCTAATAATTCTAAATAAACAGCCAGGAATCGCTTTATCTGTCCATTAGGTGGGAACCAATAGTCCAATTTAGAAAAATCTTTAATCTGTCCATTAGGTGGGAACCAATAGTCTTTATCTGTCCATTAGGTGGGAACCAATAGTCCAATTTAGAAGGCTCTTTATTTCAATTGAATAACAGGTAGCTGAATATACTCCAGTTTTTAGCACAATCACGTGCATCATCGAAGCGGCAAATCAACATTTATGCTGAATATTTCGAAGAAAAAAAAAGCTCTTGGAGATAAACCAGCGATTCAGGTGAAGAGAGAAAATCTGTGCTAAATTTTCTTGGTAGATTTTTCTCTATACATCTCAATCAGCTCTCAGTAAAAATGCTCTTTGCAGCTCGCGCACATTTCTTTAAACATCTCGCAGGAAAATGTTCCTTGCATCTCTCACCCAAAACTTAACATCTCACAGAACAGAAGAATCCACTAGAGCAAAGAAAAACGGTACCCAGTTCCTCTGGCTCAGGAAGCCCGTAGCTGAGCAAAGCGCCCCACGATCTTTCTTTCTCTTGCACATTGCGGCTGCCCAAAATTCACTCAAATCCGACTCCGCTACAGCCATCACCGCAGCCCGCTTGTACAAGTCACTCGCCCCGCAAAGGGGGAGCCCCGCAAAACTTTCTGCTTCTCCTTTTCCTTTTCGCTCTAAAATCTGAATCAGAATGATCTCTAGCCTGGTGCAAGATCCCAGGAAATCTCGGTTTCTCCGTCTCTGTCAGTTCATAGGCTTTCAAAAAATCATAAAATTAAATCTTACCATTCCCGGAATTTTATGTTATCTAAATTGAGAAAATGACACACTCTTGACGAATCAAACACCAGAAAATCTGACAATGCAATCCGAAAAACATCTGCACTCACAACGTGAGAAAAAAAATAGACTCCCCAACTACCAAGCGAAACTAGCTTTTACGAGCATCCAATTACCTAACCCCCACTGTCTTGAAGTACTCAAAACTGCAAACTTTACAAAGCGACAGGAAGACAATTTCCGTTTCACACGCCATGAGTTAAAAGTACTGTACTGCCTCCATTGTTAGTAGGAAAAAAAAGCTATAACCAATAAACCAGGTGTGTTTCCTTGCAACCGTCTCTCACCTTAGTTACAATTCCTACTCAAGAATAATGAGTTAAATAGAGCCTTAAGAGCTTAAGAATACTTTTTTTTCAGATTAAAATACACATGAATACAAACAAAAATATTAGAATAACAATGACTTGAAACACATATTAATAATTGAAATTCGCGACATAACAAAAAGGTCCGAAACTATCACAGCTTGCTCAAAAACCATGGGAAATTAAAAGATCAAATATAGATCATCCCTTTCAAATAATAAAAAGCTCATGTTCTGAGTTAAAGCAAAATAAATAGAAATTGCCCTTCTTAAACAGAAAACAAATGAATAATTTGCTGTATGGTTTGCTTTCTTACCGAAAGTATTTTTCCAAGATCTCAGTGTCTGTTACTTTCTGAAAAGTTTTGGAGTTCTGGTACGTTTGAATATTAGCCCCCCGAAAAATAACAGTATAAAATAAGTTTAACAGTTTGTAGGTTTATGATTTAAGTTTTATTTATTACACTATATCTTAGATTTTTTCCTACATCCTTTGTTTTGTTACATATTTGCTCAGATGTTTATGCAAATGTTACGGTAACGTCAAACTAGGCATATATGGAAGCTAGAATGAACCCTTATTCGGCATATGCCTTCACTTGAAGGCAGTAGATGTTATATAACAATACAAAGCAGTTTTATTCCAATATAATATCCCTTTATAAGGGAAGTACAGGTTTTCGTAACATTTATAAGATTATTCTTCTAACTGAAGTTAGTTTAAGTTTCTAGAGAGATAGCCAATTATTACTGTATCTTAAATACACTGACTACCAATAAGTATTTGGACACCTATGCAAATGACGATATCTGCGGTCCTAAGGTACGCCGGTATATATCGGTTAGGACTCCGCCGGTATATATCGGTTAGGAAACAGCATCGGCTTTAGTCGCCTGCAAGATGCCTCGCAGTTCGGAGCTCTCTGATTTCGATAAAGGTATAATTATCGGATATCACAAATGTGGCCAATCCTTAAAGGACATATCTAGCTATCTGAAGTACCCAAAATCGACAGTGGCCTATGTGATTAAGAAGTGGAAGGTGAGCGGTGATTGTCGGAATGTACCCCGAGCCGGCAGACCAACGAAACTGGGAGATTGAGACCAACGAGTGCTGTCCAGAGAAATTCGGAAGAACCGCACCCAACCGATGGCCCTCATCCACGAGAAGTTTCAACAGGCATCCGGGAGTATTGTTTCAATGAATACCATCCGTAAGGAAGCACATCTGCTTGGTTTTCATGGTCGTGCTGCTGCCCATAAGCCTTTGATCACAAAGTCCAACCGCGCTGATCGGTTAATGTTGTGCAAAGCACATCGAAATTGGACCGTAGAGCAGTGGAAACGGGTTCTTTGGAGTGACGAATCAAGGTTCACCCTTTACCGTTCGTATGGCAGGGTCTGGGTTTGGCGTCTACCTGGAGAACGTCTACCTGCCAGAATGCATTGTGCCAACAGTCAAGTTCGGCGAAGGTGGAATTATGGTCTGGGGGTGTTTCTCCTG